TTATGTATAGCCTTTCTAAATCACTTATGATTAAGTTTTTGTTTATATCCTAATCTGGCGAGTCTATAAATTTTCTTTAGTGAAAAATTAGGCTCCAAGAAAAAACATTAACTGTTCAAAATTAAGTATTATGAAATCAATTTCGATATGAATTATATCTTAAGGCCACAAGACAATAATTATATCATAATAATATTATATGAAACATCTTTTTTTTTTCTCTTAGCGAGAAGAATTTGCGATGATGTTTTCCTAATTATTCATAAATTCTCAAAATAATCTTAACATACATCACAAATTGATATTTCATAATAATAATAACATGCAATTTAAAGAAATTAATATCATTAAAATCGAATCGCCTACAAGCATTCCACTTAAATCATGCAAGAATTTAGAGTTACTTGCTGTAAATATTGATACCATAAAAATAATTTTAAGGAACCACGAGCAAAATCTCTAATTCTAGATCTAATTCTCAAAACAAAACTAACTTTTAAAAAGAATATGTGTATTGCCAATTTTTCTTTTCTTTTTCTTCTTTTTTTTTTTAAAAAAATTGTGCAAGAAGAATTTTAAAAAAAATGAATAAAAATAAAAGAAACTAGATGGAGGAGGATTTTTAGTAAAATAAGTTAAAGAAGTCGAGGGTAATTAGAAAAAAAGGTAAGATAATTTGAATTAATTAAGACTCTTTTCTTCTACTTTTTCATAGTATATACTATTATATTTATTTATTTTTAGACTAAATAAAACATGAAGAATTAAAATAGAGACATTAAAAATGAGGTGTTCACAGTATGCCCCTCTTCGATTGTAAAATGTAGAGTTTTCATGCAAATACGTGAACAATGTGACTATTTTTTTACTAAAAGCATATCTACTCCAATAGTGTTGAGTCTTCATTTTGAATCTTCGGTTATCACTTAACCCTTTTCAGTAGGTACATCAATTTTGAACTTTGATCTCGACATCTATGCTTAAGGCTTGAGACTTTATACCTTGACTCTAGCCGTTGACGTTCTTTTGTAAGATATTCTTGAATTTTTATATTTTTTTTAAAGTACGAATATTTATTCTTGAACATCAAATTTGTATATTACGTAGAAAGCTGGACACTTTCAAATAAAACAAATAAAATGGAACAAATTTTTCTCCCCAGTTTGCACTAGAAAAATAATGTTTTGGTAAAATAAAACAAAAGGTAAATTTGTGCCCAAAATGCAACCAGGGTTCTCATGCCCAGTGATGACATGAAAAATAAGATAGAGGTTATTGTGACCTATATGCAACCAGGGGTTATTATGTCTTGTGAAAACATGAAAATAAAATAGGGGTTATTGTGCCCTATATGCAACCAGGGGTTATTGTTTCCTATGAAGATATGAAAAATAAAAGTAGGGGCTATTGTGCTCTATGAAGACATGAAATTAAAATAAGGATTATTGTGCCCTATATGCAACCAGGGGGTTATTGTGCCCTATGAAAATATTAAAATAAAAATAGGATAGAGGTTATTGCACCCTATATGCAAGTAAGGGCTATTGTGTCATGTGAAGAAATGAAAATGAAATAGAGGTTATTGTACCCTATATTCAACCAGGGGTTATTGTGCCCTGTGAAGCCATGAAAATAAAATAGGGGTTATTGTACCCTATATGCAACCAGGGATTTATTGTGCCCTATGAAGACATGAAAAAATTGAAATAGAGAATATTGTACTCTATATGCAACCAGGGTTATTCAGTCATGTGAAGACATTAAAAATAAAACAAGGGTTATTGTATCCTATATCTAATCAGAGGTTATTGTGCCCTGTGAAGACATGAAAAAAATTGAAATAAGGGTTATTATGTCCTATATACAACCAGGGGTTATTGTGACATGCGAAAACATGAAAATAAAATAGGGGTTATTGTATCCTATGTGCAACCAGGGGTTATTGTGAGATGTGAAAACATGAAAATAAAATAGGGGTTATTGTATCCTATGTGCAACCAGGGGTTATTGTACCCTGTGAAGACATGAAAAATGGAATATGGGTTATGTTACCATATATGCAACCAGGGATTATTGTGCCCTATTAAGACATTAAAATAAAAATTGGTGTTATTATGCCCTATGAAGTCATGAAAATAAACTAGGAATTATTGTGCCCTATATTCAACCAGGGGTTATTGTTCCCTGTGAAGACATTAAAAATAAAATAAGGATTATTGTGCCCTATGAAGTCATGAAAATAAATGGACAAGGGCCTAAAATACCCTTAAATTATTGATAATGGTAAAAAATTACCCTTCATCCACCTATTGGCTCCAAAATGCCCTCTTCATCCACCTATTGGCTCCAAAATACCCTTGTCATCCACCTTTGGATTCAAAATTGATCATTTTTTTAATTGTTTTAAAATTAAACTCTTTAAATATTTTTTAAAATACTTGGCGTTCAACTATAAATTATAATTTTAATTTATTATTATAATTTAAGCAAGAAGAATTTTCGATTATGTTTTCCTAATCATACATAACTTCTCAAAATAATGCAACATACATCACAACTTGATGTTACATAATAATAATAACATGCAATTTAAAGAACTTCATTCATTGATATCGAATCTCGTCCAAGCACTCTATTTAAATCATGTGAAAATTTAAAATTGCCTTGCTGTGAATATTGATACCACAAAAATAATTTTAAGGATCCATGAACTTTGAATACAAGCAAAACTTCAAACTTTAGATCTAATTCTCAAAACAATAAATTGACTTTTCTTTGCTTTTGCTCATGCCTTTTTCTCTGTGTATTTCAATCTCAGTCTATGTATATCTTTATTTCTACTATATCTTTTTTTCTCTATCATTTTTCTGTGTATATTCTGTCTCTCTTTTTTCTTACTGAGCTTGTATTTTATATTATAGGTTTGAGTGAGAGTCTGGTGCTAATTTAAAGAAAGATGAGAGAATAGGGAGTTTAGTATAAAATTTAGTCAAAAATTTACGGTTGAGATAAGAGAATAAAATAAATAAATAAATAAACAATAATAATAATATTTGACAAATCAAAAAGAATAAAACAATAATAAATAAGAAGAAAATGAAAAGAATACGTGTAATTTTTCTTTTCTGCTTCTTATTTTTTATTTTAGAAAAATCTTGCAAGAATTTTTTATTTAAAAAAATAGAATAAAGTCAAAAGAAACTAGATGGAGGGGGATTTTTAGAAAAATAAGTTAAAGAAGTTGAGGGTTATTATAAAAAGGATAAGATAATTTGAATTTTTTAGGACTCTTTTCTTCTACTTTTTGATAGTATATTATTATATTTATTTTTTTAGACTAAATAAAAGTTGAAGAATTAAAATAGATATAGTAAATTCACATTTTTTTATTATTAGACTTTAAGTATAAACGAGCTTATAATTTGTATTAATTTACAATTTATTTTTTCATTTATTTAAAGTATAACTATATTAAAATTAGTATAAAATCATTATTTTGTCGTAAAAAATTAGGTATTCACAAATTACATTTAATATTTTGCTACTAAAATTTAATTAGGTTTTATCATAGTTTATATGATAATAATAAATTAATACGACATGATATGCCAACTAAGAAATCTATCGAGAGAAATAATTTTATTTGTAGGGAACAAAATTATAGTTGGATGACTTAATAGGAAAAGTAATTAAAATAATTTTAGTGAAAAAAGCATTCAAAAGGAAGATTACATGAATTAGCCTTTAGTTTTACCAACCAAAAATGTATTCAACAATTTTCTAAAGCTAGCAGCCATTTTAACAATTTTCTTGGATTGAGAAGTTTTTTAAATTGATTTTCTCCAAATTTTTTAATTTGATTTAAAAGAAATTCAAATTTAAGATAAATTTTTGATCACTAGTCTAATGAATCTTGAAAGAGGCATAATTAAAATAGATCAAATTTCAAATTTTTTTACGGATCGAAACATTACATATTTTTGTCTCTCTTTTTACCTATAAATATATTTTTATTTTAAGAATGCAAGTTCCAATTTAAGTGATTTTATTATCATAGGTTTTACCATTAAAAGAGAAATAATTATTGGTATGGGTGAAAATTAATTTAAATTGTTATAGATCTACAGGTTGTGGTCTACTTGAAAATTTTTCTTACAAACAATGGCTTTAAAATTGATTTTTTTTTCAAAATTTATAATGTTTTTCGAAAGAAAGTTTGATTAAATCTATTTTTTCATCACACATCCAATGTACTTGGTAAATTGTTTGAGCTTTACCCAATATCAAATTGTTTCCTCTCGGACATGCACTCGTCTAAACTATCCAACCTACGCCTTGTCCATACTCGCTCTTTCAATGAGGTTGTTTGGGTATTGGACTAGGGATCACCCTCTCGGGCATATCGACCCACTCTTTAGGAGATCAGTCTAATGGTCTTAGTTTCATGACTTCTTCCTCGAGAACGCCAAAAGACAATAGTTGGTTTTGTTGTTTCATTTATAAACCAATAATTTCTACATCACACCCCAAGAATAGATGGAGTTTTAGCCACACATCAATTAATAATCAAATATGCTAAAAATAATAAGAAAATCAATTGGGTATAAGAGATTAATACTTAAAAGTACAACGGAAGGTAAATGGAGAAGACTCATTTCCAATAGTGGAAGATGATTTTCTTTCTTCAAGCTTTCACAAATCCCTCTCCAAATTTAGAGAGAACTTATGAGAAAAGTTTCTAAAATGAAATATCAAGTTTAATATTGTTTTACTCTCTAACTTTCTATATCTAAATAATATAAGATTTCAATATTTATAGACTTTAGAATTGTGCCGGCGAATTTTTTCGAAGCAGTTAGTCATTATTCGCTTAATCGCCCTTTGTTCAGTTAGTCGTCTTGTGTATGTGTTCTGGATCGATGGGCGATAATCTTCTGCTTTGCGGAACTGATCAGCGAAGAGTCGGCTGCTTCTTTTCGTCGCCTTGTGATCCAATTCTTTCAGGGCTCACTTTCTGTAACAGAAGGCGGAACTTTTCTATTTGGTAGATCACCAAGTGTGCTTGACGATGCACACCTTTGCAACTTCAGCTCATTTTGTCCATTTTGTTTCTGTTTTACGCCTAAGTGTCCATTCTCCTACCAAATCATCAAATTCCTAAAACTTAGGAGGTTTTATCAAATATTGAGATAAAATAAATAATCAAGGACACTATTTGCATTAAAAATAAGGACATAGATAAGTCCAATTTGAGGACTCATGAACGCCCCCAACTCAATAGTTTGCTTGTCGTCAAGTAAAACTCAAGTTGAGCAATTTAAGTAACATGTATCAAATAGAGATATATAAGACTCAGTCATTAATATGCACAACAAAACTCAAATAACTCATGCAAATCTAAATTGTATACTCAAAGATTCAAGTTGTGACACACCATTACCGAAGACTCTCGAACTTAAAATACTCGCTACTAATGCAAGTTCATGCTCAACAAAAGTATATACATTCTTTTATACAAAGAATGACTCCATTTTCATACACGTAGATTTATTAACTTAGGGTCACGAGTCTGACGCAATACTCACATTTATAAATAGGAACACAGTGCATGTTTTCACCCATAGGTTTGCCCTTATTTTCCAATCGACTTTCGGTTCGGTTCACTCAAAATTCTTTTATCAATCCTTAGTCAAGTGCCTTTAAGTTATCTTGGCATTCTTGTCCATGGATTGCTTGGAAATATGATTTCTTTTTGTGCTTTTATTTCACAACCTTCTTATTAATTATTCGTTTTTTTCTTTACTTGTTATGTATGCGGGCTTCTATTTCTCCTCTATACCATGGGTTTATGATACTTTTCTTCAACTTTTTGACTTCTTCTTTCCGTTCTTACCGCACCCCCAAATTAGGCTTTTGGCCTATGTTGGATATTCACTTATATCATTTCTCAAAGGGTCACTTATATCACTTCTCAAAGGGATGATAGGTGATGGATAACATAAGGTCTGTGCTTCATAAAGTTTTTTCAAAAGAAGAGGTAAGGCTCAAAGGATGTTCAACTAAGTTTCACACGCTCACGAGTAAGCTACAAAAGAAGTAGATGTCAAAGTTGGCTTACAGTATTTGAATGTTGCCTAAGATCATCTCAAAAGGACACCTTTCCAAATCAATCAAACTAACTAACGGGGAAAATTCTATGTTTATTCATGAAAGGTTCAAAGTAAGCTCATCACACAAGGCATAAAACGTAAGTAAAACAAGACAATACACTTTCGCTAGTGTACAATGGTCATTATAAAAGAATCAATTCAATAATTGGGTAATGACTACGAGATGCTAAGAGTTCATATATTGTCTATGTAAATTCATTACTTTTCTGGTACCCGCACATTCATGTTTGTTCGATTGAGATCACTTTTCAGGTCATCATTATTGATCGAAACCAAGACTTAAATTTATACAAGAACAACCACTTTCAATACAAGAGGTGACAATTTTTGAAAGTGATTTTTTCGTAAGGGTCAACATTATTTTGAAATTAGGACCCCAAAAGAGAGCCATAAGCTCAACAATCCACAAAAAGAAGATCTTTAAACAAACCCATCTTAAAACATGCAAACATTCATCTTAACAAAACAAGGTGGGCCTCTCCCTACAATAGAGGTTTCTAATAAAGATATCCAATGATCTACAGACTGACCAAGTTGTACTATTCGGTAAAGCATAGCTTGTGTGACATAAGCCTCAGGTGCGATGATTCATGATAGCGATAGGTTTATTTCTAATCGTAGCAAGAACTGACCATTTTGCATCAGTTGGATGGGCTTTTGACACCGTTCCCTTTAACCTGTTCTACATCAGATCCTTAAGGTATTTTTGTTAGATTCTTCTAATGTTGGTGAATGATGTAGGAGTGATTTCCATATCGCTCTGAATTATTTAGGTACTTGAGCTTGTTTGCACAGTTTAGTGATCAGTACCGGGAATGAAAGTGAAGTTTTTCGTCATTATGAGTGCATGAGGATCTTGAAATTTATGACCTCCCTGAGATTAAGTTGAATTCTATCAATAATGTAGCCTAGGCATGCGGCCCTTGCAGGCCGTAGTATAGATATGTTTTGCGAAGGCATGATTGAGCTACTGATAAAACCAAATCAATATCGAGATTCTTCATTTAGGATTTTCGTTTCAATTGTTGTGCCAGATCTTAACCGATTTGGAGTATCATCTTAAATTAGGGGAGCTAACCAATCTTTCATGTTATGAAGTGATATTGCTTTGGATAGGTGTTTCCATACTTCCTCCATGTTTTTAGGACGACCTAAGATAACATTAATACTGTCGGGATCTTACCAAACAACCTTCCCCCTTACTAATACAAAATTGATTAGATTGATTGTTGCTACACGTTTCATTCTCGATCGCATCAGAGATTTTATATGATGTGTAACATTTCGAAACAAAACTTGGAATGTATAGGCCACGTGGCTTAGTGAAAAGCTAGAAGTGATGACACCTCAGTGTGCTCATAATTTCAGGATATCTATCAATCACTCCATCTACGGATAAGAGTTATTCTTCAAGAATAATTTTGAACCTATCATATTTTTCCCTATTTGATGATTTTTGTAGGGGAATATGTATCTCTTTGCAAGTACTACTTCAAGGAAATTTCTTCATTTAGCCTCTCTTTGTGCGTATCCGTGCCTTTTATGCACCCGCAAATGCTTTCCCTTAAGGAGGCATTAGTTTTTCTTCAACTTTAGATCTGGCTATACCTGCAATCATACTAAGATACAGATGTTGTTAGTAGGATTTAAGTAGGGTTTGGTTGATATGCAAACCAAATAAGTTTGGAAAACTATCTCTAATATTCAGCGACTCAAACTATGTATGCCAACTGCTACACGCGTTCTAGGTGGACTGTGTCCATTTATGACTCAATCAATTTGAATGACCACCGAGTGTCCCGGTGGGCCTGATGTTGCTCGCCAGACTACTTGATGCCCTATTTGTCATTCTAGGTTACTAAAATCCACCCCGCAATCCTTCAAAATATAATTTACAAATTGCTCTACTCAACTTCTAGCTGGGTTCACACAACTATCACCTAGGGTTTTCAGATTTATACTCATTCCCATATCAGGAAGTTTAACATACCTTACTTGGGAAAAACATATCTCCAAATGGAAAATATCATAATTGTAGGAGGGTCACGTAGAACTAACCTTTTTTGCTGATTTGATTAAATTTTAGGCAACAAGTGGCATAAAGATCTAAATTCAAGCAATAATTACTCAGCTACAAACACTTATGATATACCACGGTTTTTTAAAGACTAAATAAGTGTGATTTTGCTAAAATCCAGATTGGGAGTAATGTAAAAAATGTGGAGGATTAAATGAAGTGATTTTATACATCATGTGCAGATCTCATTCCGTTGGCGACGTAAGTTGAATATCTGCTCAGCTTGGCGATATGCCAAGGGATACTTTTCTTTTCTGAGTGGTATAGAACCTCCAGCTTATTTGAAGAGCTAAAAAGCAGACATTATCTCAATCATCAATCAAGTTGACTCTTCGCTAACGTAATTTGTGTACCTAAATTTGTTCCCTTCAAAAGCCCTTCACTCATGAATCTACAAAATTAAAACACCCTTATTTTAAATAAGATGTTAAAATTCATAAAGGTTTTTAGTTGCGTCCCAACAACGCCTTAGTTAACGCGTTGCACAATGCCAATCAACACTTATTCTTCATCTTCAAGTTCACCCATGGTGTAGTTAGGCAAACCTCTCGCGAATGGTTAATGACAACATAGTATCAACTCATCAATTTGATCATCTTGATGTTGAATGGTTATATTTTTTTGGTTGTTGTCTCATAAATCATTTCTATGTTATTATTAAGCTCATTCAACATTTTATCTTGTTTTTTTAGCTCCTTCAGTCGCTTGGATAGAATGTCTACTTGGGCTGCAGGTGAGTCCTACTCATAGTTTTCTTGATTTTATTTATCGGTTCTATATATATTATCAAGGGTTTGGGCTACCACTTCGTAGGGGTGAAGGAGTATACCACCAGGGAAGAGTTGATCAATGATACTTCTAGTTTCGATCCTAATACCTCTGTAGAAAATTCTAGTAAAGCCTTGTTGGTAATCTACTGAGATGGGCATGGTTCTAATACTTTTGGAAACTTCAACCACATGTACTCAAGAGTCTCATCCCCTACTTGCTTAAAGGTAAAGAGGTATTCCCTGAAGTTTAACACATTTAAGAGGGGATGGTCTGTATGAAGTCTGCAGTGGTTTTCTATTCTTGTTACTCTGCGTCAATACGCAATCACACAAAACAAAAAAACCACAGAAGTAAAAAAAAATAGTAAATGTTACATTACAAAGAACTAAAAACTATAATTAACTACATTTACATGACAACACTCCTTGGCAGCGGCGTCATTTTGATTCTTTGATACTTTATTTTTACTTTTATCTTTAGCTCGTGATCAATGACACTAGCATATATTATAAGTGTCTACAAATCGAAGCTAGTCTAGTAACCCAACCAAGGGTTGGAGTCGTGTCCCAATGGAGTGTTAGTGAAACTAGTAACTACATAGACTGTCATTCTAAATAGTGGTAAATGAAGACATTTTCAAATATTAAAATAAAAAATTTTAATTTGTGACACCAAATTGTCAAATATTGATTAGGGGTTTTGTCACAAGTAGTAGAATAGCAAAAAATAAAAAGGAAAATAAAGTATGGGAGTGAGCTCTTGGGTGTGATCGCTATATCTGAAGATAGAAGTTGTGGGTGTATGCTTTCTGTAGCTAATTTCGTAATAATTTTTTAAATATTAGTTATCTTATGGAAGAATGAAGAAAAAATTCTCACGCTAAAAATCTAAGTCACATAACAACAACAACAATTAACTATATCTCAATAAGAAATAAAATAAAATAGGCTATATGAATCCTAATTTGTGTATTTGAACTGAACTAATTGGCCTATAGTGACATGAATAATAATAAAAGTAAAATAGTAATTTAAATACATATAAATAATAGTACTAGTAATACTAGTATTAGATGTTCTCTAACAAGTTTAACGTCTCATTTCATTTTAATTATTATGTCTAAAATATCAAAGTTTGAATGGATAATTAAATGATAAATTATGCATGAATATTTGAATAAACATCTTTGTATTATTATTATGTAATAAGATTTGATGCTAAAATATAAGTCTACTTATAAATGTAAATCTCTCAAGTTAACATTTTCCTTAGAAATAGAATCTTTTTAATTTATTTTTCAACAAAAATATTAATTTATGTAGAATAAAATTCTAATTTAGGATGAATCTTTCATATCACATCAAATTATTTATTGAATCATAAGAGATGCATAAGCACAATCATCGTTTATCTTGTTACAAAATGCAGAACATTGTTAGTCATATATATATATATATATGTATATATATATATATATATATTTGATATTTTTTTGGAAAGTCTTGTCATCCATTACTCCACACAGTTGACCATTTTTCAAAATAGCTAACTATTTTTTTCATATTTTCGACAAGAATATGGATAAGCAGTACCGAGTTAATAGTGATTAGGATGCAATAGTAATGGAAGTTTCGATATCTTTTATTTTACTAAAAAAAGCAAGCATTAAATTTTTCTAGGTTCGCTTTAAAAAAGTTTTTCTAATGATAAGTTGTTTGTTTTTATTCTTTTTAATACATATACAACAATCTTTCGATTAATATCTAAACAAAAATTTAATGTTAATTTCTTTTTGAAAAGAAGAAAATATTCATCTATAAAGTAAAAAGATATTATCTGTATGACAATATTATTTAAATATGTCATGTTTATAATAATAATTATTATTATTATAATAATTATAATAATAATAATAATAATAATAAACAAGAAACCTAGTTTAATTTGACGAAATGAGGTAGGAAAATAATAAAGTGTACACAAACTTTATCAGTGAGATAGAGTAGTTATTTTTTAAAAGCCCTTAGCTCCAAAAATAATAATCCAAAGAAGTGTGTTTGTGTTTTTGTGTGTATGTGTGTGTATGTATGTATGTATGTATATATATATATATATATATACACACACACACACACACACATATAAACTGCTATTACTGCTACTACTGCTGCTGCTGTTGTTGTTGTTGCTGCTACTACTACTGCTACTGTTGTTGGTGGTGCTACTATTGATGCTGCTGCTGTTGTTGTTGTTGCTGTTGTTGTTGCTGCTACTACTACTATTGCTGCTACTGCTACTACTTCTGCTGCTAATACTGCTATTGCTACTGCTACTACTTCTACTACTACTGCTGCTGCTACTACTGCTGCTACTACTGCTACTACTACTGCTACTACTGCTTCTACTACTGTTGTTGCTACTGCTGCTACTAGTGTTACTACTACTGCTACTACTACTGCTACTGCTACTACTGCTATTACTGCTACTACTACTGCTACTACTACTGCTGCTACTGCTGCTACTACTGCAACTAAGCAAAGTTAGTGTAATCCGACTAAATGGGATATGCAAAGAACAAAATGCACATAAACCTTATCATTTCCTTTGAGGTAGAGTTGTTGTTTCAGATAAACCCATAGCACAACAAAAAAATACTCCAAATAAGTGTGTGTGTGTGTGTATAAATATATATAGTCTACAGTTTCATTTAAAATTTACTGCAGAAATAGGTCAGAAACAATTATAGCTAGGTGTGAGCTATCCTTTTAGATAGAATTAGAAGAAACACACTTCATCGTATTGTGATGATCTTTCAGAATATCAAATATTGATGCTCCAATATCTTAGGTACCACTTGATCAGAAAATGTTGATGCTCCCCACTTTGTATACATAATTACCTTTTAAGAATTGATATTGGATAAATGTGAATTCCATACATATTGTTTTGGTGGCAGAATGATATTGTACCAAAGAATATGCACTACATGCATACTCATACATTTGAACAAAGAAGTCAAAATTGGATCATCAATAATATTTCTTTTCTAGGTTGCTTTATAATATATTATGTAACTTTCCTTTTGAACAATTTGCATGTTTTCCTGCGGAAAAAAATGATTATGTATATTTTCTTTGATGAGTTTGTGATAAGCATTTAATAATTATTGATAAACAGGTCTACCTTTATTTGGAGACAACTAAAAAGTTTCTATCTTTGATAGAAGTGTTTAAATTTTTTGTCTATAGGGAAATTCCTGAAATAGCAAAGAATTCAAGAGAAAATAAATTGTTTCGAAGCAAAATTAAACTAAACTAGATGCAACGATCAAGTACTAATCATGAAGATAATAGGCTAAATTGTATAATGATGTAAATGCAATAACAATCTGACTGTGAGAGATCTGGTTAGCCAACAAACCATGTGATCACTTAAACTAATTTTGGGACGTAAGGGTACTTGAACCCTAATCCAACTCGGTTTTTATGTCTACTCCCAACTGAAAATGAGAAGCTAAAATGGAGTGAAATAATGAGTAGTTCGAAGTACTAATATGCTAATTGAGAATGCAACATATATATATATATATATATATATATATATATATATATATATATATATATATATATATATATATATATATGTTGAAAATTTGGCATTTGAATTTTGACGAAAGATTTTGTCTTATTTTCCATTAAAGTATAATTCATGAAGTTTGATAAATTAACACAAGCTAGGGTTTTGGAGTCTAGTAACTATACTAATTCACCAACAAACATTTTATCTGGTTAATGGAAACTATAACAGCTGAAATCAATACAAATCTTCAAAATCTGGAAACCATAGGTCTGAATAGTTTATAAGAAATAAAAGAACTAACTTAATTCTAAGGACCTAATAAGTCAAAGAAACCCAAAAGTGAAATCCAACATACCTGTTCATGAAAACTACACATAAATTCTTAGGATTTTGGGGCTGAACTTGAGGAAAACCTCGCTTGTTCTTGGGAGAAATTATCGCCTCTTTGTAACCTTTTCTTTTAATGTTAGTGATATCAGGAAAATGAGGGCTCTAGGTTATTTCTAACAAGATTATAAGGCTTTGTGTGAGTAAAAAAAATTAATTTAGGTATAACATAACATAATTTAACTGCATAACTTATAGGGGAAAATAAAAAAATTACCCTGACTTAAAAGATTATAGTTCTATTTCACGGGCCCATTCACAGACTTTATGAAGCACCACAGGTTGTATGGGAAACCATGGTTCCTCATAGAATTTGGGGTGGTACTGGGTCATTTTTTAAAGGCCACATAATATCCTGCGTGAGGTTTTACGGACAGTCTAGTGGTCATGGTTCCTCACAAGTCCTTGGGTGGTTTTATTTGTTTTCAATGCCAACTTGACAGCTCGTGTGGAGTTCCATGGCCCTTGTACGGTTCATGGTCCTCGATCTTGTTTTTCGGTGTGAGCCACAATGTTGGTGATGCGTCATGGTCTTATTCACGGTATATGCCCTGCTATGGAATCCACAATTTTCCTATTGTTCAGTCTAAGGTGTTATAGTTTAGTTAAGTTTATTAATTTTTACATAACATTAGGGTGATATACTTTATTATTTCGATACTTCCATTTTTTATCGTTATCTTTGGGTTATAGATTTTCTTGTCTTAGTGGGATAAAAAGAATGCCATCAAACACATTTTTCGTCACAATGTTTCCAATTATGTATGTATGCATGTCGACTATTTCATATTATCATTTTTGTAATTCATGGCAAGGGAGACAAATGAAATGACATCATATAGGTTCTAACCTCATTTAATAAAATTGTGATTTTCAATTGGCCTTATTCATTATGCTATGTGGTTGTTAATGATTTTTTGTATTTACTAGTCCGCTTGGGTAAAACACTGGTACACTAATAATGAATGACTCGGGTACCATAATGGTAAACTGACTATGTATGATCGGGTACCATGTTGGCACACTAACAACCAGAGTTCCGGTTCCAAGACAGTTCCATGTACGTGATTTTTAGTTCATTGAGAGTACCGAATATTTGCATTGTCATCATGTGAGACATGTAGTTGTACATTATTTGACCCAAGTGTTGTTGTTTCATGACATGTGTCTGAAAGTCTTTGTGGTTGATAATTGTTGTAATGTTATACATTTTTCTATGTTACTATATTGTAGTGACCATTTACATCCATATATTGGTCTGTCCATATGTTCCCACTACTACTCTATGGTCTATGTACTAGTATCTATGTTTTTTTCATGTTGAGTACAAGACCTCTTTTGACGGTTATTTTGACACCTCTGTTGAGAGATATCTAATTTCTAGTCCTAGGGTGAGCTCCATATTTTAGGCTACCATGGATTCTTCTACATATTCTTATCCATTTATTCATGCATAGACTTATAGGTTTTAGTTGATGTTCAGTTTGAAGTTGCATCTCAAGTTTAAGTATTTAGAGTTTTGGTATGATGATTTTGAGTTCTTAGGGTAATTTCCGCATCACAATTGTTTTAATTAACTAATTTAGTTTATGAGGATTCAATTCTCTAGTAACTTAATGGTTTTATATATTTTTATGATAAGAGTTGATTTTATTTATACAGTGTTGGTTGCTTCATATTAGTCTTTGATTCTCCCACAAGGTTGATTAGTGTTTGTGCCACTCACGACGTTTTGAGTCGTGACAATATCATCCTCGTTAGGATGATACAATTTCATTCCAAAATAGACAAGAAATTAAATTGATTTATCCATCTAAAATTAAACAACTATGTCATGCTCCTATGTTTCCTAAAATATTTTAATTAAATAAATTGAAAGAAAAAGAGTTTTTCCAATTAAAGTGACATTTCGAAAAGAGATAATTTTATCATTTAGAGATACCACTTGAAATTTACTTTTGGTGTTCCAAGACACCTTATTTAAATTCCTACTCAAATGGAAATTTGGCTCTATTTTTATTGGTCTGAAAACTAGAAATTCTAATAAGAAATTCTGTTGACCTAGGGAAAGGTGTTAGGCACCCCTCAAGTCCTATGATTCTTTCACGGTCGCTTTATTGACTTTAGTATGACTTGACTTAATTTTTGGATATTATAGTATTTAAATTAATAATAAAAATGTTATTTACCTTTATTCTCTCATTTATTTTAAACCTATTTTAAATTGACTTATTTATTTTTAATCTATTTACAATTGTCTTCATTTTTTTTTTGTGTGTGTCCAATAATTTGAAAATTGAAAAACTATATTGTTAAAGTTTGGGTAATTTTAGAATTGTATTTTTAGTTAGATTAAAAATAGTAGATAAAACTTTATGTTATTTAATATAAATTTTAGCAAGAACTTCTATGTAGATTAGGACTATTTTTAGAGAGATTTTTTTTTCTTTTTTTTCTTCTTTTGCCCGTTTTTTTCCTTATCCTTTCTTTGCACTTTTTATTATATATATTTTATACATTATATTTTTCCGTTCTATTTTCTTTGAATTTTTTTTATATATATATTTTTACTTTTTTTCTTATAAGTTTTGTTTTGTTTTGTTTTTTTGTCTCCTTTTTTACATTCTATTTTTTAAAAATATTTTTGGTTTTGTTTTTACGCTATATTGTTGTTGTTTTTTCTTTTTTTGGTTGCTCGTTATCTTCAAACATTTTTTTTAAAACATTATGTTTGTTATAAACCATTGAATAGTGGACTGTCCATTCATTCTCTTCATGAACTTATTTTATCATGTATCTACACTTTCAAGGTGACATAAACCTTTATAGATAACTTGTACCTATTAATTGGTCATTTATTATGGCGACCTGTGGGAGTGAGACCTTAACACTATAAATATTGTATCACCCACCATTTGGAATCGACAATTGAATAGAAGAAAAATTCTCTTCTTCATCTTTATCTCTTGTCTTCTTCTCTTTATACTTATATTGCTATGAGCTTGAGTTTGTAACACGTTATCAGCATGAGACTCTAGCCAATTGAGATTTAGTTTTAGTTTTTATTTTACTCATATTTTGGTTGATCTCGTTAAGAGAATAAATGTATTATATGCATAAAATCGGGCATATACTACTATTGGTTGAATATGACATGCTACACAAAATTTCTTATATGGAAGAAGGGTAAGACGGTGGATTCAAGTTTCCTTGTAGCAAAAGGGTAAGACTCCGGGTTAAGTCTAGATGCACATAATAAAAAATATTTGAGCATAAGAGGATAGATTAAAATTCAATCGCATCGAGAGGGTAAGACATCAATTTGAGTTTTGAACCGTGATAATAATGTATTGGGTTGAAGTTCCATAAATTATGGCCTAATGTGCCTTGTATGGATAAGACATTGAGTTTGAGTCTCAATGTACCATAGTGGTGATAAAATGATGATTAAGGCAAAAATAATATATTTTTAATGAAAATTCTTGAGATTCGTCTTATGAATTGTCACGACCCAAACCGGGTTGCGACTGGCACCCACACTTACCCTCCTATGTGAGCGAACCAACCAATCTAACCTTAACATTTCAATATAATATCAACAGAAAGTAATGCGGAAGACTTAAACTCATTAAATAAAGACCAATTCATTAACTTCTAAAATTCAACATCTATTATTCCCCAAAATCTGGAAGTCATCATCACAAGAACATCTACGATTAAACGACTAAACTAAGAGTATTCTAAAAGCTAAAAATACATAAGAAGCTAGTCCATGCCGGAAGTTCAAGGCATCAAGACTTGAAGAAGAAGATCCAGTCCAAGCTAGAAGCATTAGCTCACCCTGAATTTCCAATGTAGTAAGACTGGCTTGAATTACTGTTGAGTTGAAGATGATGGCACGTTTGCTGCACCCCACAAATAAACAAGAAGAGAACATAAAAGTAGGGGTCAGTACAAAACACGGGTACTGAGTA